ATTCCAGAAAATTCCCCCTTAGGCACCAGTGTGGTAAACAGTCCCCAACCAGCTCTCGGAAAAAAACAACCGATGCATCTGTGTGTGGAGTGTGTGTTTATTGTACATTTTACCAGTATAAAAGAAGACACACTTTACACAAATAATAATCAAATACACAATACTCTTTAAACTCCATATAGCCAATTGATCCTCAAAGAAATCCTTTGTTGATTTTTACCAAGCTCTTGCATCTGTAGCCAGTCTATGGTTGCAATGGGTCAACACGTATAGTTCTGACATGAATGTTGATTTTTTTTTAATGAGTAATACAAATGTCAAACAACTCCTCTGGGTGTCGAAACTTCACTTGGATACATTGGATAATAGTTTTCAAATAATGGAAGCCTATTTCAGGTCTTTGTGCTATTTGCAATGTAAAGGCTATAGATGACAACTTATATCGGCATTATTAATATTTTTTCCATCACTTTCTTAAGTCTAGATAATCAACAAAACAATGAGTCAAGTCCCAACGTACAGTATTTGCTGATTTCTACAGTGTAAATAGCCCTATCACAGCCAAGGGCAAGCTGCCATGATGTCACCGAACGGACTTGGAAAGAGAGGCACAGTAACACATCATTCTGTGGTATTTCCAACCTACAGGCACAATAAACGTAAGTCACTGCTACAACAAAGATAAGAAAATGTAGTAAGATAATTGAGAAGTGATGAATTTTGAGTATTTGTTACTTTCCTTTTTGACAGAATTTATTCTCAGCGTAAAATCTATTATTCCTTAAAATGTCGAGAAAGTAAAGCTTTGACCAGAAGGAGGAAAGTGGGCCTGTGTGCTCCCATCTCAGGAACAGGAGGCCGAGTGTATGCTGGGAACGTCAGAGTGACAGCTATCAAGAGACCAGAAACAGGACCCGATTCCTGCCCCAGGGCTTATAACAAAGGCTCCAACCAGGCTTTTTTCCAAAAATGTTTTTAATTCTGACATCCATCTTAATGGCTTACGGTAGCCTAATTTAGCCAGTAGTTTGTTATACTAAAAATGGAAGCTAATGATTTCAGCTAAAAACAACTAAGTCAGTGCCATCAAAGTGTATTGTAAGAAACTGATTATCACAGGCTGCATTTGTTGTCCCTTCCTTCTCCCCACAGAAAGGCTTAATAAGATTCCCACAGCAAGAGCAAAAGGCTTACTTCCTCCCCTGGGACCCACAGTTATGAATGTGTTCTCTAGAGGGCATCTACCCCCCCACCCCCGGCCACCCCGCCAAGAGCTCTTCAAAGACTCATCTCATGCAGGGAGCAGTGGTCCCACTAAAGAGTATCACCTGCTACTACAGGTCATATTAGTGTCGTTCGGCAAATATTGATGACATCACCCTATTTCTCTTCAGTACCCACCAGTACTCAGCTCGGGGCGATATAGCTCAGCACACTTTATCCTTTCCAAAATACTAGATTTTGAAAAGAGGCACAACTTTTAAGAAAGAGCAGATAATAGTCATACCACTTAACTGTCCATCTGGAAGAAATCCAGCCCAAAAAAGAAGGGGGGCACGCCTGGGTGGTTCACTTGATTAAGCGTCTGACTCTTGATTTCGGCTCAGGTCATGATCT